TTAACACCACCACTATACACATCATCATGTTGCCCATATATAATTGCTTCTTCATAAAGTTCATCAATAAATTATTGTTCCTTCTCAACATTTATAATGTCCTCATGATTTAATTCATCTTCCTCAAAAGGACCCTCATAAAACCCAGGCTCAGACACATCATGTTGTATATAAATATCAACATTCAGATGCACCTTATAAATATTCACAATATCTAATGCACCTTTGTCACAGTAGACACATTTATCCCAAATGTTTGATCCTTATACCAAATTGTATTTATTTCCTTATAACACAGGTACTTCACTATACCTGTTAACTTTGCCCATATATAATTGCTTCTTCATAAAGTTCATCAATAAATTATTGTTCCTTCTCAACATTTATAATGTCCTCATGATTTAATTCATCTTCCTCAAAAGGACCCTCATAAAACCCAGGCTCAGACACATCATGTTGTATATAAATATCAACATTCAGATGCACCTTATAAATATTCACAATATCTAATGCACCTTTGTCACAGTAGACACATTTATCCCAAATGTTTTATCCTTGTACCAAATTGTATTTATTTCCTTATAACACAGGTACTTCACTATACCTGTTAACTCATATATAATTAGTTCATTATTAAAAAATGAGCCACCATGATGAACGAACAAAAGCAAATATATTTTCATTACTACCTATTAGAGTTTTGCCTAACACAATCCTACAAAACCGGTTGGTAAGGTGAGGGGTATCACTTTATATAAACGATTTCAATGATCTATCTCCAACTAATGTGGGACTTTAGCATCTTCCTAACACCCCCCTCACACCTAACACTATTTTTTTTATTTAAACGGTGGGCTATCCAAAATTTGATCGATAGGCTCTGATACCATATTAGAGTTTGACCTAACTCAACCCTACAAAACCGGCTGGTAAGGTGAGAGATGCCACTATATATAAACTATTTAAATTCTCTATCTCCAACCAATGTGGAACTTTAGGATCTTCCTAACACTACCTATGTCTAGCACAATCATAATTGGAAAGTGGCGAACATAAAATGAATTTCCTAAAACCTGAAACATAAAATAGAACTTAAACCTAAAATTCTAAACGAACAATAAACGTAAAACTTATAACATACAACATTTGAAAACTATAAATTGTAAAACCAAAGACATATAACATTTGAATACAAAAAATCCAAAATTACAAATGGGACACAAATCCCATTTTTGCTTGGCTTTATTAACTTATGCCACTTATTTTCTTTGCTAATATGGTTTAATTAATTACTTAATTGATAATTGAATTATTAGATGTTTTATAGATTTTAGTTGGACTTTTGTTGTTAGCTTTTGAACATTATAAATAATGTAATGATGTAAATAATATTGGGTTACTACTGTTTAATTTTATTGCAATTGGGATTTCGGAGTTTAAGTTCAATATAACTTTCAAAATTTGTTTAGATGCATAGATTTGGTTGCTCAATTTCTTATAGAGTGACTCCTACATGAATCCACCTTAAGTTAGCTTAGAGCTAAGTTCAATACTTTAAGTTCCAGTTTATTTTTTCTTATGTAGGTATTTTACATAGTTTTATCGAGTTGCTGGATTTCTCATTGCGTTGCAAATTCGACTTTGTAATATCATTTTTGCTCACCTTCTTATCGAGTGATTTCTACATTAATCCTCCTTAAGTTAACTTAGAGCTAAATTCAGTACCCTAAACTTCGGTTTATTCTGGTCCCTTGGCTTTCTCTTGGGCCTTCTTACAATTAGCTCTTTTATTGTTTACATTTACTTGCTTAATGAGCTTGTACTTTAATCGCTTTATTATATCCTTATTCGAAAAAAATGTACCCCATTCCCATGACGTGTAATAATTTTATTATTTTTCTGTATTTTGCTCTTATTGTGTTAGTTAAATGTTAATTCAAGATTAGCATAAAATCAATCATTTAAAAGAAAAAGAAAAAAGAATAAATATAATGCTTGATCCAACGTCAAGCCCCTTTTTCCAAATAAAAATCAAAACCATTTCCATTATCCAAACTCCTCAATCATTTTTAAACCCTCAAATCATTTCTTATTTTTTCAACGTGAATCAAACCTCGATCTTATTGTGGATTCGAATCAGTTCTCTTTCATCTGGTGTCTCTGCACAACAATCAATGGAGAAATTCGTTTCTGGGAGAATGTTAAAATTGAAAGAGATATTCACATGATTGTGCATAGTTCTCAGGAAATTATCCTAATGGTTGTAATTGCATAGTTATGTTGTTTAGTCGTTGTATTTGTTTGTTTTGTTGTTTAATTATTGTTTAAATTATTGTTTAGTTGTTGTTTTTAAATTATTGTAACTGAATGTTATGATATTTATGAAATGAAAGTTTTTTTTTTATATAAAGCAAAACAGTTACATTTAAGATTATGTTGATGTGCTTGGTCCAACATTGGGATGATTTATACGATTATGTCTAGGCTGACGACATGATCTACATAGTCTCACCATTTTGTTTTCGCCGTATTCATTTCGGTTCGAATATACGTGCTGTTAGGGAGACCCTTTTTCTTTCTTTGCATTATTTCATTGTGTTGAACTATCTCCTTTATATGCAGGCCAATAGTCCTCTTTTTCTACCAATGAAAAGTTATTGTTGTAGACATTGATATGACTTTTTAAATGGCGGATATTATGTTGGAAGGGTCCTGGCGAGCCTTTAAGCATGCCGCTATGACATGGGAGCAAGACATACGAAAGGCTTGAAACTTTTCGTAGTCGCCTCAACTTCTATCTAGTTCCACTCGATAGTATCGCCTCTGCCTCCCTTCATTGTGATCTATTGACTCAGCAACACTGAGCCAACCTATATTACAATTAAACATTGTGACCACATGTGTGTTAGCTTTGAAATCTTCCTCCTTAATGAATTTCATTGAACTATCACTGAACAGTTTCCCAGATGGTAACAGAGAACTCCATTTTAAACGTCTGATCTCAAAAAGTGACCCGAGCTTAAAATAGGTCGCTATCACCAAAGTAGTTATTGGCAGTTTTCGGATGCCTTTGAAGACATAGCTCATTGTTTCCATGAGATTTGTTGTCATGTGGCCCCATCGTTGACCATTGTCGTATGCCCTGGTCCACTTCTCCAATGGAATATTGTTGATCCGCCTTACTGCATCTGCATTTGTCAATATGATGTCTTTGCGGTAGTGTTTGAAGGAAGGTTTTGTTAATGCATACCATGCGCTCACAACCTTCTTCCGCAACACGCTATAGTAGTGTATCACAATCTTTTAGACCACCTTGGACCAGACGATGTATTACAACTAAACTACTCTAAACTTGCTTTAAAAATTACCAAATTACAAATCTTATAATTATGTATTTTTCTTATGCAGTTTATCTCGACCATGAGGTTAACTCCGAGGATGTTGCAGTTTTGACAGTAAAAACACCAATTATTAGGTTCACTATTTTGGAAATGCATCAGAGCGACCGTGTGAAATTGCAGTTCGACATGCAACAACAACTTTCAATCCCTCCGACGTGTTTGGAAGACTGACATCAGCAAAAAGTTGATGCCTAATGGGGTTATTCTGATTGGAAAGACTTCACTAAAGAGATGTGTCGCCAATGGAGGAATCGACATCGCCGCATCTTAAACGAGCCTATTATACAAGGTGCTAGATCAACTCAATATTATATAAATTGGTTTAGGATGATTACAACAACACAGTTTGTGTATGAGCCGAGGTGTTTGATCGACCCACGCCGACGAGCTTCGTTATCATACACCCAACAACAAACACCCGTCCAACAACCAACTCTACACCATTACCAAACCCAACAACAATGTCAACCCACCCAAATCCAACTACCAACCTCACAACGTCAACATACCATATACACCCAACCACCAAACACCTAACCTCACAACCAATACATGCCACACACTTAAACACAACACCAAAAGTCTGACTCATACCACCAACAACCATACGTCGCTACCACATCTGTCTATAGCCTTGATAACTTATACGATTCCACCCATCCCACCATAGCCCCCACTAATGAACACCTGAACATCCCACCGCTAAAGCACCCAACCGCTCTTTGACTTTCTTACACCACAAGAACCCTTGCTTCATTTTCAAAATGATTCAGTGTACCAATTCGGCCAATCATACCTTCCTCACATAACTAAACCACTACGACCTAACTTCGACAACATGGACATCAAACTGAATTACGGCAGCGCCGTTGGCAGCAACCTTCGACTATTGAGGACAAATGATTGATAATATGTCAAATACGTCAAGACCCTCGCACCGACCACCTTTTTCTCAGGACAATACTCAAAGATCCTAAACACTTCAAGAAAATCGCGGGAGACCTCGAAGGTAGGCTAATGCGCCGAAATGTGGAACCTGGGGACGTTTCGATCAGATAAATCATTGATTTTCTATTCAATTGTTATCAATTTGAAATTTATGAAATAATAATATAAATTAGTTTTAATTTTCTTTTTATTTCAATTTTTAATTAAAATTAAAAAAATAAATAAATAAAGGAGTAGTCACGACAGACATATATTTAATAGATACACGTATATGCCCCATTGTTAATGATGACACATATAAACATGAGCCAATAAAAATGACGTCTATGTGTTAATTTATATTACATGCACTAACCAAAATGACTATTTTTTTAATTAGTTTTTTAAACATAATTATTTTAATAATAAATTTGAAAGATCCATTATTTTCATATTATTTGAAAAAATGGATTATTTTAAAAAAAATCACTTTTTTTCATTGTAGCAAAGTATTCAGTATTTTGTAATAATTTTGATTCAAAAACACATAAATTTACCATAAAAAACTTTTCAAACACACCCCTTTAAATCATTAAAAAAACCGCAGCAATAGCAAAGCGTAGCTAGGGTTGAGTGGGTTAATCGAATCGCGTTTTCGTCGTCATCGCCGCCATGGATTCTCTGCTAGCAAGCTACGCCTCTTCAGACGAAGACGAAGATCACCAACAACCAATCCCATCCAAAACAACACCCTCTTCTTCCTCCCTATTCCCCTCTCTTCCTCCACCCAAATCATCTTCTTCCTCTTCTCTCTTCAACTTTCTTCCTCCTCCCAAACAACCCTCTTCCGACACACTTTCTTCCCCTCCCTCCAATTTCACCGGAATCTCTTCTCTCCCAAAACCTAAATCCCAAATCCATGAAAAACCCAAACGAGTCGTTCAATTCAAACCCCCAATCATTTCTTTACCTAAACCCAATCTTGAAGACGACGAGGATGAAGATGACGAAGAAGAAGAACGAAACAGAAGAAGAAAGTTGGAGTCTTCCATTCAAACTCCATCTGTGAAATCATTCTTGTCCAGCATTCCAGCACCGAGAAACTCTTCCACTCTTGGTGTTCAATCAAGCTCTGGCTCTGGCCGGAGATCCATCCTCGAAACTAGCACACCAGCACCAGAGCCAAGTTCTGGTGGTGGCTCTGCAGCAGACAGCAATGTTCCGGAAGATCGAGGGGATTATGAAAATTATCAATATGCCACTGATCAGTATGATAGTTATGGGAATTACCAATATGCAACTGAGCAATATGATAGTTCTGGTGCTAGCACTGGCGCTGCTTCTAACGGTGATGGGTATGCGAATTACGGGGCCTATGAGGATTATGGACAGTATGAAAATAAATGGGTTGATAGGTCGGAGCCAATGGCTCCGGAGGATTCTGGGATTAGTGAGAGTGTGTTGAAGTTTACTGGGAAGAGAGGTAGGAAGGAGGTTCCGGTGGAAGTGATTGAGGTGAAGCAAGATGAGTTGATGAAGAACAGACCAAGAGAGGATAAAGCCAAGCTTACAGGGTTAGCTTTTGGACCTTCTTATCAGGTATTGTTCAGTTTTCTATTTGGCTTAATTGTTATTGTTTTTCGTTGTTGATGATGATCTGTGTTTTTTTTTGTGAAACTTGGATTTGGTAAGTGTCAAGGTGAACAACTGCTGAGATTGCGCTTGTCGTGTGTTTATGTTAGATTTAATTTAACTTATTTGGTAGCAAGGCGAGCGAGGTAATGATGATTGTAGTAAAGTGCATGTACGAGCGTTGTTTGAGATGGAAAATGTGTAACTAAACAAAAACAATACTGAAATGATTTGTGAGCCTTGTTAAATCCTTCTGAAAGTGTGTTCAAACAGTATAGGAGATAGTAATCTCAATAGAGGGCGGGTTTTTATTGTCACCAATTGGATTGCATTCAAGAGAAACTCTAAACATCTTTTATTACAAAAAAATGAACTCCCTTGTAAAAGCCGTCAAGCCTCCTTTATGTAGAACAGCTACTATAAATAAAAGAAATCTTAAATTGCACAATTGATTTAGTTATAGCTATCTAGTATAAATCGAATCAAAACAAATTGATAAGCACAAATAAAATGCAAAATAACACTGGTATAAGAGCCAAACTTAGGTTGGGTGAACAATACCCATCTAGCAATAATCCAGAGATAGCTATAAGTTATAACCATAAGTGGAGATTTGTAAAGGCACAGTGCATTTACTTACATTGGTTCCTAAGGCAGGGGCTAGGGATTTACAGTAAATGCAGGGTAGAATGCTTCAAACATTGCATCTAACATTTTTGTGAACAGTGTAAAAAAAAACATTTTTGTGAACAGAAAAGGAGAGTCGTGGCTTAAAGATTTTGAATTAGTCAGCGTCATTGTATGTAATTGTAATTTGGTGGTGACTAGTTCTGATCCTCCTTAATTGTTTTTGTAATCAGCTGAGTGTTGTACTATATCTTGGCTCTGTTTTGAAAACTTGGTATCCGGCCTTGAGACAAACTAATCAAAGGGAACCAATCCCACAGTCCACTAGCGAGGGGCCATTTATGGGCAGAGCTAAACTCTAACTGGATTGACCCGACACAAGGGCTGTTAGCACCTAGCGAAATTGGAACTTGAGACCTTAGAGAGGAGCACACTCTCATGTCCCAAGTCTTCACTAACCGGAAAACCCTTGAGGTTTTAAGAGAAAGCTATTTGAATTAACACAATAGAATTTGACTGTTTTATGATCTATCTTTGAATTAACACATGAGAGCATTTTGGCGTAATCCATGTAACCAATCTCATCTAGTAGGAAAACTTGGTTGTTGTCATGTCTGTCTGCCTATGCATAAAACCAACTTATATTTTTAAACTCTAATTTCTGTTGCCATTTTTTGGATGCCTTTGCAACTACAAAGAAAGCCTTTCAAATAGTTGTTAGCTTGATTTCTTACAACAATCGAAAGAATTATGGTATACTGTTGTTGGACACTAGGACTGTTCTATACTGTATTGTTGGATCTTCATCTTCTACTGCCACTATCCCTATAAAAGACAATAGTAGTGATACCAAAATTTTCGACATATGTCGGTTTGTAGTGGGAAGTGCTTAGCTGAGATATTTTAAGCATGTGTTCTTGAGTTTGGTTTTGGGTCCATATGTATGGAAAAAGTACTGTGTGAAAGGTGTATGCCTATGCCACTATCATCATTCATCACATGACAACCATAAATCATAGTTCATGTTACACCATTTTTACAATTGGAGGCACAGAAAAAAAAGTTAATTTTACTGGTGACATAGAAAGATAAATCATTTATTTTTTACAGACAAAATCTGAAGTCCTTTTTTTTTTGTAACTGTGTTTTTGGTGTGTAATCTCCCTTTCAACCATATTTTATCCATCCACAATGTTTGAACTCGAAATCTTACTTAAGAGAACCGAGTTCTCAATTCTAAACGTACCAATGTAATGTTGGTTGACAAAACCTAGAGCTCAATGTCGTTTCACTTCAAAATTCAAATCTTTTAAGAAATAGGAGGTTTTGGTTAGTGGGGTTGTCACTAGAAATTGTACACCTTTAATTTTCTTTCAAAAGTATGTTACTGTTATTACTATTTTGTATTTATCAGTTTTCTTTCCTTTTGTAGCCTGTTTCAGCAAAGGGAAAGCCTTCAAAGCTGATGAAGAGGAAGCATCAAATTGGCTCATTGTACTTTGATATGAAACAAAATGAAATGAAACTAGCCGAGCGCCGTTCCAAGGGCATGCTTACCAAAGCTGAAACACAAGCGAAATATGGATGGTGATTTAAGAACTACCAAAATGCTGTAATTTTAAGAACTTCCATTTGTAAAATGATTTACAAAGCGAGCTTTCAAATGTAGCTGCAGCACACTTGTGTTATACTGTTCTTTATGCAGACATTTACAGATTTACTCAAATTTCCAGTGTAAAGGATGAAATTTATTATCATATAATCTTATTGTGGAATTTTGTAGGTAAAGTTTCCTTCCTTATGATGAATAAATAAAACTACATTTCTTTCTTTTGAATCAACTTTAGTTTAGAGGTCAGTTTTTTGGATATAGTTATTTCCATTTAATCGATCTAGCATCCTTGCATTTTGGTGAACATAAAAAATCCGAAGTATCCGCAAAGTTGAAAATGGATCAAAATTATACTTGAAATAGATTGCCGTGTTTGAACTTTTTTGTTCAACCTAAGTTTTACACTAATATTTTCAATTATATGTCCTACTACATTCAACCCATTTTTGAGTAAAGTCAATTTCACAAAATAGTTTTTTATTAAACAAACACATTTAGGTGAGATGCTTATTACATGCCACAAACTCATCTTAGTAAGATCATTCATGTTAATTAAAAAATGAGGTCTGAGATGGAATAGAACTTTTCGATCAATGCTTGATTTTTAAAATAATCATAAGGCAACATTAAGTGTCAAGAGGTACTGACATTGATCAAGTATTGCTCCCACCAAGAATCGAACTTGGTATTTTCCAAACTTTCGTTCTTTAGTAAGAACTCGTTCACCACTCGAGCCTAAGTGCTTGGTTCCTTGCTATCTTTTTAGTTGGAGTCTCACTCAAAGTATTTATTGATTGCAACCTTTCACTTTAAAACCTAAATAACTTCTATCTGTTTTGTATAATTTGTTACTGAGATTCAGGTCCAACGAGAAGAAATAAAGTAAATGATTCTTGAACAGACCAAAATAAGAGGACTGAGAAGGATGCATTTTTACATTTCAAATGTGTTTGTTCACCACAATTTACATACAAATTTGTAATGATCCACAGAAGGATGAAATAGATTTCTTCCATGTGAAACTGCTCAAATCTTTGACTTTGAAATACCTCTGATCAGAAGGTTGAGCCATTGAACCCAAAAAATGAGCGCTGCTCCACAACACAAATAAAATGAGATCTAGAATGTCAGCAATGAAGTAATCAAATATATATTGTAAAAGATACTTCAGTAAATTCAAAATGATAGTGAAAATACATAAATCATGATACAGGTCACTATATGTCACTATGTCGAGAATTTATTGTCATAACTATTTCCACAAAATGTGATGGGAACTAGTATCTCATTACAAAAGAATAAGGAAGCTTCTTGGATTACAATGTGGCAGAGCTTCAAGGGTCTGCTTCAATCAAAATGATAAGCTACCTTACTCTAATCCCTTCCTCATATTTGTACACACTATTTTTTAACATCAAAATATATTAATTGGGTTCACTTTTAAGACAAGGTGTGCACAAGAACAAAATTAGAGTAAGAGTACAAATGGACTGAAAAAACAGGCCGCAAAGCTGCAGATCGGCACAAATCCATAACAGAAACAACCCCATTACCAAACCATCCGATTAGGCGTACAGCACAACGGCCGAAACCAAGAAAAGCTAAAACATAAACAACCCCATGACAGGAGAGTTAAAAACAGAAAAGCAGAAATTTACCTCAACATCATAAAACTTGATGTAGAATCTGGAGCTATCAATGTACAGCTTAGTTTGAATGATTTCTGCAATAGTAGAACTCAATTTTCCATTAACAGCAGGACCAAGACCCCCAATTGATACCAGTTCTCCATAGGCAGCCGGCTCTTCAGTCCCACCAAATGCAATAGGCACTCCACCATTCAACAAAATCATCACATACTAAAACACAATCCAAAAAAAAAAAACACAAATTTAAGTCAAATTGAACTAAATAAAGTTGATAGATAAAACTACAATTGAGTGTTGCTGGCATTAAGGCCATCATAGTTTTGTCATCTACAGAGTAATTTCATCAAACAGTTAGTGGTCAAGAATAAAGAACGTGTAAAAATGTACTCAACAGATTCGGGTTTTCCAATGATCTTTGCAACGGCTTTGGTGGCATCCCTGAGAATGTCTGAAGCAATAACAGGGTCGACGGGAATGTTGGTGAAGAGGTTCAAAGTGGGCATTGTGTTGTTGCAGTTATCAACCGATAGACCAAGTCCTTCAGGATAAGGTGTCTCTTCCCACACCAATATTTTTTTTTTTTTTTGGAATTTGGTCTCCAATATTTTATACGAATTTCATTGAAAAATTGTAAATTGTGATATTACAAGTAAAAATAATTTAGGCGATGTTCAGTATTTTTTGAAAATCAAAAGTGACCCTTAAATAGGGTGTATGCGGATAAAATAAAATAACTTAAATCGATAATTTAAATTAAATTAAATTGAAAAAAAATAATTTTTTCTATTTTGGTTCAAAAATCGAACTAAATCGATATGGTTTGGTTCGATTTTCGATTTTAATTTTTAAAAATCAAACCGATGACTATAGGTAACCACATAATCTATATTTCAACTCTTTATTAAGTCCAAATTTTGCACCAACTCAACCCTTGTCCATCTTTGATTACCATTCTTCATCTTTATTCAGCCCATTATTATTCGAGATTAAAAGTCCGTACTTGTTTCGGTGTTGCTTTTGTATAATGATAAGAAAGAGAACTTGTTTCGGTGTTGTTTCGGTGTTGCCTTCAAAAATTCAATTTTTTGTTACTTGAAAGCATATCAACACTTGGAATTACCACATCAAACTTCAACACACCACCTTAATTCAAGTGTTGCACGTCTACCATCTCAATGCCCATCTTCAACCTCTTGAAAACATCACTTATAGCTCCCTTTGTCAACAAATCAACAACTTGGTCCTTGCTTCTGCTATATTCCAATCGCAACCTCCCTTCACCAACAAGTTCCCTCAAATAGTGAAACCTCATCTTTATGTGTTTGCTCCTCCCACATGCAATTGGGTTTTTAGCAAGATTAATCGCAGAAACATTGTCAACTAAGAGTGTGACAGTCGTACCCTCGATGCTGCCCCAGCCCTTCCAATAGATTCATAAGTCACACAGCTTAACACAAACATAATGAAGCGACAATGTACTCGGCCTCACAAGATGAGAGTGCAACTACCAGTTTATTCTTCAAACACCATGAGATTGGTATCACACCGAATATAAAGATGTATCTAGATGTAGACTTTTGATCATCTTTATCTCCACACCAATTGGAATCGGTAAACTGAGCAAATTGCATTTTCTGCCCGTACCCGTCGCGGAAAAGAGAATTCCGCACCCAACATAACCTTTAATATAGCGCAAGATCCTTTTGACTGCTGCCAAGTGAGACACCTTTGGTCTCGCCATAAATCTACTTACAATAGCGACACTAAACACTAGGTTCGGTTGCGTATTGTATAAGTAATGCAATGATCCAATCAACCTCCTATATTGAGTTGGATCAACATCTTCCTCATCCTCATTCTTGAACAGCTGCAGCCTTGCTTCAGTTAGAGAAATGGCAGCATTGCAATGCTCAATTTCACACTTTTTAAATATCTCAAGAGCATATCTTCTTTGATGCATCAGCAGTCCCAATTTTGACTTTTTGAACTCTATGCCTAAGAAGTATGTCATGAGACCAAGGCCAGTCATCTTGAATTCTTCCATAAGTTCACTCTTGAACTTTGAAATACACTTTTCATTGCTTCATGTGATCAATAAATCTTCCACTTATAGACAAAGGATGATTACTCCTTCACTCGCATTCGTCTTCACATAGACTTCATGCTCTGATACACATTTCTTGAAGCCAATATTCTTTAGGAAACCATGAATTCTTCTATTCCAATCTCTTGGAGCTTGTTTTAAATCATATAGTGCTTTTTTCAACTTGTAGAACTTCAGCTCTTGGTCTTTTACAACAAAATCAGGGGATTGTCCTACATATACCTCTTCTTCAAGCGGTCCATTCAAAAACACGAATTTGACATCCATTTGGTAGATAGGCTAATTGTGGTTATTTACAATACCATCAACAAACCTAATGGTTTCAATCCTAGCAACAAGTGAAAAAATCTCTTCAAAGTTTATGCCTTCTCTTTGTAAAAATCCCTTAGCCACCAGTCGAGCCTTATGCTTGATTATCTCACCCTTGGGATTTTCCTTCACTTTGAACACCCACATCACACCAATCGATTTCTTTCCTTTTGATAGATCAACTAACTCCCACGTACTGTACTTCTGAATGGATTTCAGCTCCTCTTTCATAGCATAAATCCACTCTTGTTTACTTAATGCCTCTTTCGTATTGACAGGTTCAGATTCGGCCATAAGTGCAAAGTGGACGAAATCACCATCATCATTGACCTTATTGTCACGAAACAGCTCACAATCTTAGAGTCTCTGAGGCAAACCCCTTTTCCTTGTTGACCTTCTAACATTTCCTTCATCCTGAGCTTCGACGGCTTGCTATTCTGTCCTTCCCGCAACCTCAAAATCTAGAATTTTGAACGTATAACCGGTTACAGGATTCTGGTAATCGGTTATAGCTTGCATGTAACCGGTTACATGATTTTAGTAAGCGGTTATGCCCCGTCGCACCTGCTTCATTTCATCGATTACAACATCCTGACTGATTACGGTCCTCCTACTTATAGCATCAAACAGTTTGTAACCACCGATAAAGTGATACCCAACAAGAATCATCATCTCTCCCTTGTCATCTAACTTTTTTACTAGTCGACCCAGAACATGTCAGTATGCAATGGAACCAAACACTCTCAAATGGTTCAGATTTGGCTTGAACCCCGACCATGCTCCCTCCGGGGTTACATTTTCAAGCTTCTTCATAGGGCACCTATTCAACAAATAGGCAGCTGTGGATATCGTTTCTCCTTATAGCTTCTTTTGCAAGTTCTTCCCATTCAACATGTTTCTAACCGTGTTCATGATCGATCGATTCTTTCTTTCGACTACACCAGTTTGTTGTGGTGTATAGGATGGTACTACCTCATGTACAATCCCTTCTTGATCATAAAAACTCCCAAAATTATTTGAGACATATTCGCATCCACCATTCATTTTGAGCACTTTGAGATTTTGACCACTTTGCCTCTCCACCATGACTTGAAATTCTTGACACATCAAATACCTTATCCTTTCCCTTTATAAGGTATGTCTATAGCTTTCTACTATGATTATTGATAAAAGTGACAAAGTACCTATTACCACCCATGAAATCTACTTGCATATGTCCACACACATCTGAATACACCACCTCAAAGTGATTCTTGGTTCTTCGATTTGCATCATTGCACACATTCTTCACAAATTTGAGTTGGAATATTGATCGTTGGCAGTCTCGTTACCTTTCCGTTATTTTGCAAGTCCTTGAGATCTCTAACATTGAGATGCCCAAGACGATAGTGTCACACCCACTCTTCACGATTTGATGAAGTAGCAATACATCTATGCTCCATACATTCAACTAAACCTTGAAGGCTCTATCGGCAACCATAGGCGCTTTAAGGACCAAAGCTTCATTTGCATCCATAACGCGCAACCCCTTATTTTCCATATGAATCTTGTAATCCTTCTCAAGTAATTGACCAATACTTAAAAGATTACATTTGATTCCCAGAATATACAAGACATCTTTGATCAAGGAATATCCATCATCCCTCCTCATGATCAAAACATCACCGATCCCATCGTCCATTAGAGTGGTGTCATTTGCGAACTTTACTTTGTTCTTCATGGCACGACTGATTTTGAAAAATCAATTCCTTCTTCCTGTCATATGATTTGAACAATTTGAGTCCACATTCCACTTCTTACTGCATTGAACTCTTTTCACACTCATTGTGGCGTCTTCCTCTTCACGCAACCTTTCAATCATATCATTCAATCGACCACAACCCAATTTTTCTGCATTCTTTGAGTTGTTGTCCCGCAACTGTTTGCTGCTATAATTCTCTTACGTGATCATAACCAAGAATGTATTTTCTTTATCAACTCTTGTCTTGCAACCTTGGTTTCTTTCCCTTGAGATTCCTTCCTTTTTGCAATATATTCTTTCGCATAATGACTGAACACTTGACGCTTGTAGCACTACTCGTTGCTCTTGTCAAATCTTTTTCTTTCACCTCTATAGTTGCCTTAACCACCATGTTTTTTGTAACTACTCTCACTCCTTTGACAAGTCGAATTCTATGAATTTTGGGACTCAAGAGAACTTTGCAGCTCCTCTTTGCTCATCGTCGCAAGATCCTTTGACTCCTTAGTCGCCACAACTATGTTGTTGAATCTTGGTGTTAACAAACATAAGATTTTAGCAACAACATACTGCTTCGTAATGGTTTCTCCACATGCCTTTACTTAGTTCACCAACCGAGTGATTCTCGTTGTGAAATTGTTTATTATCTCATTCTCTTCCATTTGAATCAATTCAAGTTGTCATTTGTGAGTGTGTAACCTCACCATCTTTGCCTTATCAACCAATGCATAATCTTTCTCTAAGATTTCTCCCGCTTGCTTCGACGTTTCACATTCACCAACTTTCTCAAAAATTTTGCCATCAACACGTTGATGAATAAAAAACAACGCTTTGGAACCTTTCTTCTTTTCTTCCTTTTGTGATTCCTGTTGCGCCTTTGTTGCATTAGCTTGGAGAGGAGTAACATCATTCTTAATCACCTCAAGAACATCTTGGTAGTCAAACAACACCTTCATTTGCTTAGACCATTTTTCGTAGTTCTTCACATCAAGGATGAGTAAATTTGCAGGGATTCTTTCATTAGAGACAGAATTCATGTTGCACACTGTGTGAACAAGCCTCTTGATGCCAAATGTTGGAGAGAGAGAGAGAGAGAGAGAGAGAGAGAGAGAGAGAAAATTGATAGTGGAAATGTAATTCTTCATTAGCTAGGGTGAGAGTGCGCCCTACACAATTATATAGAGATTACACAATGATTGGAATACATTTGACCAAATACAGTAGCAAAAAAAATAAAAATTCGGACCTACAACTGGTTACACCAAAGTGGATAAACGGTTACAACTGACATAAATTAATTTTCAAATCAATTTTGTTTCAGTGGTAATCTGTTATCTAGTAACTGGTTATGC